ATTTGCATTTCGTTTCTTCATTGCATCTGCTAACTGCTGTTTTGATAGTGGCACGTTGAATGTGGTTGCACGACGCTCCTCAATCTACCAAGACTTTCCTTCATTAAAGCTCGGGGCATCGATATTACCAAATAATACTCCCTGAGCTGCGAGTCCCGCCTTTGTTGAGAAAATTCTCCTTTTAGTGCCGCGTTCCATTGGCCGCGACTCCATTAGGTCCAATAGAGCCTAGTTCGTCGCCGTTTGACACTGCAACGATCTCGTCGGACGCCCCTCGCACCTCCCATTCTAGAGCAAAGGGAGACACGCAAGACACAAATTTTTTGTGCTACCGCAGATTAAACATCTACAGGTACCGCGGAGCTGTCTAGCGACTGATATATCTCTTTTCCTCCGCAACATGGCAAAATAACATCGCCACTGGCGCGCTCATGAAGCTTTTATTTAAGCACCCTGTCTTGTTCTCGCGGCACTGACGTGTTGCTCCACATTGAACAAGACGCCCACCACTTTTTCAAAGATGTAGAAATACATAGAAGGTCTTGATGCAAACCGCAACTTTTCGGACACTCTCCATCAATGTGGGTACCGTTACCACCTCCGGGAGAGGGTCAGACGACATTGCGGTGATTAGAACTATAATTTTTAGCCATACTCCACCGGTTATTACCTTTCTTTACGGGTGGACAAGAATTTTAACCGCAACCTGTACGTCTGGTTGAGTGGTACAAACTTTCACGACATTAGGCGCGATAGCCCCGCGTGGAGAACACCTATTGACCGAGGTATTGCTTGATATTCTTAAGAGCGGTGCGCTGTCGTTCCAGAAGAAGCAAGTCAAACTTCCCTACAGGGTAGGTATAATCTCGTTCCGGCCATCAGCAGCCTGGACGCATAACATCATCCGTTTCACAATGGGATCCATCTGTTCCTCCATCAGCGTCTAAACTAAGTCGCTCCTAAGCGATCATCACCAGCGTATTCTAAAAGCTGATGAGCGCCTCCACGCAAGCGATAACTACTATCAATCTTTTGACCGTCGGTTCTCGATTGATGTAAGCTTCAAAAGCTGGTAAATTTGTCGTGAGGACAGATGCTAACAAAAGTCGCATAGTATACATTCTTCGACGACTCAGTCCTGGGATTGACTACAAGGGTTACCGATTTCAGCAATGTAACTGTACATGAAGCTTTGACTGTCAGAATCCGCGTAACAAATGCAAAGAGGTATAGTTTGTGCACTCTTATCAGATACGGAGCCAAGAGCCTTTTAGGTACTTAAGGCTGTAAGTTTATTTTGCTATTTAAGGAAAGCATAATTTTCATACTACTTCTATTTTAACCAACAATTAATGTACACGTTTAACTATCCAAAGACTCCGCGGCAAGTTTAGATTACAGAAACCTTTTCGTGCTTTGTGTGGGACAAAGCACCTAAGCTCCCTTTTGTACGGTTTATCGATGCATGATGCAGTTCTAAACTCTTGAAATAAAGACAATTTCTGGACACATTTCTCATCAGGAAGGAACATGTATAATGAATTTTTCGACACCACGTCACAGTATTTTGTCAACAAAGGATGAATTGGATTTATGTGAGAATCGAGAAGAGTTATCCGGTCCTTCGTATTCATTGCCCCACGAGCCTTTTTAATTTCGGAGTCATCCCTGGCACAGCTCTGTTTTGGTACTAGTACAAATGACGCATATTTGGTTATAGAAGCCAGGACAATCTGATGATGAACTTCCAAACCCAGGAGTAAACCTCTTAATAAATCTCTTGTAGCTACGTCGAAATATTATCTCAACAAAGGCCAAAATAAAGCGTAGATTTCTTGAGGATACACATCTCACTCCTTGTAATTAGAGCTTTGTGACTGGCTCAATAATTAACCCATTCCAACGGGTGACAAGTCTAACTTATTGTACGATCCTAGCCATATCGATTTGTTGATTTCACCGCCATTCAACGCATTTTAAACTTACCTCTTGAATTTTTTTATAGCTCGATTTGAGTTTCTGATTGGTGTAATGATGATAGCTTTCACTTTCTCGAACTACCCTGTTTCCTTAGTCAAAGAGTAAAATATTGCAGCCTCATTCCTATAAAGCTGAACGGTTTCGCATAGTTGCTGCCTCGACGGTAGTGCTGGCTGAAAAGTATCGTACATCATTACAACGATTTGATCCGTGCATTTTTGACCCGTCCACTCACGGCTTGACTATCGGACAAGGTGATATCCTAGCAAATATCCAATCTGGATACCGCGATATAATATTCCCACTTCCATCATCACTAAGACCGCGATTCACTGTTAAATCTGCCTCATACGCTTTGCTCATGGCACTACTCAACATTGTTGCATATCATTTCGGACAACCCCATGCTTTTTACTGAAACTATCGCAGCTTCGTACCGGTGCAAAGGTTCTTCTATTTCCTAGCAGACGTGAAATGCAGACGTGAAATTCATGACTCCACCAAGCAGAAAAATGGTTTGGCAAAAAAATTACGACTTTCAGTAGGTCCATGGTTCGTACGTCAAGCCATGCAATACCCGAGAATACGGTGGGACCTCAAACTCACGTCAAAGAGCAGACAACAATATATGTAGTTCTTGTAGTCAAAATTCACGCGAAGGTTCAAAAGAAGCTTCGGCACTTTTTCGGTGTCGCCGTCGCAAGATGCGTGGATATCGTATTCGTGTATAGTAAGTTCAACACTGTCGGCATTTTCTCACAGTCACACGTCGTACGGAATCGCGTGACGGTCCTGAGCTTATGTAGAGCTTATCGCGGCTTCGCGGAGAATGCCAACAACTGTTACCTTTGTCGCTCTTTCTATAGTTGGGACCATTTTATCTTGACGCCCACAAGGTGTAAAATAACTCAAAAAATCTTTTTCTGTATATCCGGACTTGTTAGGTCCTGGCGAGGGGCTCGTCGCGTGAGAACCGACCATACAAGTGACATAATATAAAACACCAGGCTACCGGGACTTGAATCACTAGATAAATAAAAACCAGCCTTGATCATTGTAATTTAACAAGTTCAAAACGATCATTGAATCATTAATTCCAAGACCATCTAAACCAGATGACACAGAGAGGACGGGAATGGGGAATAAATACGCACTGATTGCTCGTATCGGGTGCAGCGCTCGGCTTGTTTGTAGATAGGAGTGCTGATATAGGGTTCATTGTATAAAGAAGCGTTGCGTATTAAGCGTTCATTGTATAAAGAAAAATTATTTTGAGATTGCTATCACAATCGAAATACTGAGCATTGCAAGATCATTTTTATCCTTTTTTCTCGCTACCGTCACAGATGCCAATTTTGATCAGCATCCTTGCAGGAGAGTACTGTGACAAACTTATAGAAGTGACACCTTCAAAGTCAGACCAGAACGTGACACGATCTGTTTCAACACTCAACAGAATAACACACCGTAGACTCGTCAGCCCAGTGCCACCTTTGGTGATCTTGTGAGAAAGACCAGACCATCGGAAATTGCTCAAGGTTAGCTGTCTGCGGCGTAATGCCAAAAGGTATCTGGGCTTGCTATATTCTAGTAAATCACTAAAAAAGTAATGCGGTTTCATTGTAGTCAGTCTTATGAAGCTTAGTTTGCGAATTAAACAATGGTTTGTAACGGCTAAGGGATGAGGCCTATCGAGTTGCTGACACGACAAAATAAAGCTCGTCTTGTAGGCCGTCTTCCTTGTCAGTGTCCCTGGCGTTAATCGTAGAGCTTATTACTTGATAGGGACACCGTTGGATGGCAATTATTGATCCAGTTGACCGCAGCTAATATATTTTTCACCGCTCAAATTATACGATATCGCTTTTGAGAACACTAGGCATAGAATACGCAATCTCACCCTTTTTCTGAGACCGTAGACTTTCGTACGCTCCTACGACTTCGCATGGTCATTAAAAGCTGAGAATAGCTTTGTTCTCGCTCTCGCGATCCCATGCACTCCCGCGATTGACAGCAGCATGCTTGTGTTTGTAAGTCACTTGACCTTTCTCTTTTCGAGAGCAGTTTGGTGGTTGCTCGACTATTTTTGATGTGATGCGTTTATTCACAGCCACACATAACAGCCATTCAAGTTGGTTTGCTACATTTTGTGATTGAAAATAAATAACCTGTACAGAGGGTTAACGCATTATGTATCCATATAATAATATGGATAATTAGCATCTACAAATGCTTATATCATTTAGAAAAAATGACCAGATCAAAAATCTGATCTATGACATGGTTCAGATCTCCATCCTGTCCATTTGATATTAACCCCTGTAGGTAGCGTCACGAATGGTAGCATTACTGGTGGTAGGGAAGGTAGCGTCACTGTTGGTATTGTTAGTGGGGCAACGAGGCTAGCGAAAGCGTAATGGGGGTAGCGTAATTGGTGGCAGCATTGTCGGAGATACCGTAATCACAGACCCCGTCAAAACTTCATTAGTGGCTGTCTCGATCAGACTTCACCTGGTCCTTTTTCGGGCGTGTCCGAGTCACACGGGTTCTCCGAAGGAGCATAAGTAGTGTCTTTTTGCGAAGCGTAAAATAATACTATTGTTGGGTTTTGTGTCATCTGATCCGGGATTCATTTAGGCTCCACATAAGCTTCGGTTGCTTCGGTATCAGGCAACTCGTATGTCTACTAGCCATCGGTCTGCTGGTTCTCAATGATACCCCTTACATTAGGCCTCGAAGGGTACATGGGGGGTCTTCGACTTGTTCTTTGGACATAGACATGCTGACCGTCCACCATTGACAATTTAAAAGAATATATAGAAGATAAAATAGGTCCGTGCCAATCGTATATCCGTCAACAGGCTAACCTTTTCCCGGTTAATTTTTATAGTGAGTGTCAGTGATATATCCGCCACCTATTTCGCACTCTCGGTAGTGGATCCTGTCGGTTCTTAGCTAAATCCGGTCCTGTCGCTGTATTATTCTCTGTGTGCTTTCATAAGAAGTATGGACATCGGTAGTCATATTCGGAGCTCTGTCAGTAGTTCATTCGCTACTTGAGTATCCGCTTGAGTATCCGCTTGAGTGCCCACCATCGCCTGTAGAGCGTCATCCGTTAGCGCAGCAGGGGACACTCCAACCATGTCATCATTTGACTTTTTTGTTTCGGTTGCAGTGTTCATGAGGGTGGACTTTTGATCGTTTTGATACTTTACATCCTCCATTGTGATATAAATTTGCTGTGCCATCGACTCCGTGGCGACGTCACAGTTGCTATCGAGTGGTCTATTCACGCTCGTATTATTGTAAAACCCAGGTAGTTTCGTTTCTTGAACATTCTGGACATTGGCTTTCACTCTTTTAGTTGGAATATTATCCTGAGCTTTTATTATAAAAGGTTCCCACGGCTTCAGTTGCGTTTGAAGCAGTGGACGGTATATAAAAAGGTACAGCCCCACATGCTGTCATAAATGAGAACGCAGTGGCATTAAGTTCGTATTCGCTAAAACCATTCACACCGAGACTGCCAAAACAGCTCGTCCTATCCACACCCATATGCACATCCTTTAAAAGTGATGGTGGAGCAACGTACATGACACCGTTGTACGACAGTAGATACGGTTGACAGTCGGCAGTGGCAACATCACCAGCTTTAGGGCAGGTATTGTCTACTGACTCCACTCTGCTACCAGAGCAGAGCAAACTTGAAGACGCTAACACTGAGTAGATGACATCGTTCTGCATGGAAATACGGACGTACCGTGAGACTTGTCTGGCGGGAAGAATGCTTACTAACGCTGCAGTCGTGGCACGTGATTTAATTGCAATATCGTCGAGGTTGATGCAGTCGCCAACGAAGTGATTCGAGAATGAAGTCATCAGCATACCAAATTCTCGCTTTATAAGGATCTGTATGATGCGCGATGGCATATGTGAAACGCTTCAAGCAATTGTTTGAGTAATAATCTAGGCTGTCCGCAAACCTGCACTTAACAGTTTTTTTAGTACGAAACGGCTCAACGACTTGTGCATTTCTTGGCAATTAGGTTAATGCTTGCTCTCTTGATTAGTGTATGATCTTTGTGAAGACATTTGTTTTGAATAACATCCCATTTCGATCTTGAAATAACGTGAGACATACGAGACAGCAAACGGCCGTGAAAAAGTAGTTTCATGCTTTCGTAACGTGTGAAACTATGTAAAGAATACCAACCATAACTGTTCTGACGTGAATTCTGTAGGCAATCCCATGCTTTAAGCAGATTGCTTGCGCGCAAATAACGTTATTGAAATGCCGTTAGACCTGACGAGGCTTTCCTTGGACCTGTGGGCTTAAAAATCAAGCAATTCACAAAGTAAAGCAGCTGTTCTTTGAAAATATTAACATTTGACATTGCTAAAATCAAAATGCGATATCAGGATGGGATGAGTCTGAAAAGATTTTGAGCAGCAAGGTTCACAAATAATGTTTGAATTACGAAGGTGCGAGAAGATTGCATTCTCCTTCCTACATGATCGTCAGCATTTTTCGTAGATGTCACTGCCATTCGCCTTTTTGATTAAATTGATGGTCAGGTTGGATCACCATAGTGTAGATGTAAATAAAGATAAGGTTGCCCCTCCTTACGTTTTCGACACAAAACGCGACCATTACCATCAAAATTGTTACTTCCTAGCTCAGGACGACAGTAACTACAGGGCAAAGGGTCCTTTGAAAATTCTTATGCACTTACTTGATATCGATAACATTGTTTACACGTATCAGTAAATGAACCATCTCGCTGACGAAGTTGTCAAAAAAGATAATTTTGCTTGGAGAGTTTTGTGCTTTTGTGCGCGATGAGCAGTCACTAATCAGTACGCTCAACTTATGCGGTCACACATGAGCTGAGACTCGCAAGTTCAAATCACGATTTCTTTAAGAGACTGTGTGACTGATAAAGTGCCACTGTTGTGAGATTTTTATGAGAAAAAAGCTTTGAACCCTGGCCTAATAAGATAAGCCGTTGCATTGATGCGGGGCGGATTGTGATTGTTGCTCTATAAGCTTCTTGGAACGATTACAAAAAAACAACGCTGAAACATAGATCAAGCAACCTTACACAATATTTGATCGTCTTTCTGTCTTTCAGACACCTGCCTTCCGCTTAAAACGTCTTTCGGATTGGGTTATGCATCTACGGAACTAACTCATGGCACTGTGACCGAATTCGAGTGATGGCTTGCGATTGAATTGATATCAGTGGTGATAAGGGATTACGGTTTGCTCGTTCAAATCCCACTGAACTACTTCGTCTTTCAATTTTACAGATTTTGCACATCAAATAAATCAATTAAGATTTAGCTGCAGTTTAAATCATTTTTGTTGACGAATAGACTTTGAAATTATGATCAGTCGACAGATTATCAAGAGTTTGTTAATTATAATCACAGGTCTTATGATACCCGATACCGCTACCAGCAACGTTACCAATCGTTTGAAGTTGCGTGATTAGTGGCTGCGTAGCGCACGCCTGCGGAAGCTGGGGAGCAACGTAACAAGTGGCGGTGGAGTTAGTGTCACTGGAGGCAACGTAGCCGGTGGAAGCGTCACCGGTGGAAGCGTCACTGGTGGAAGCGTCACTGGTGGCTGCGTCACTGGTGGCAGCGTTAATGGAGAAGTGTCACTGGTGGCTGCGTCACTGGTGGCAAAGTAACAGGTGGCAGCGTCGCTGGCAGCTGCGTCACTGGTGGCTGCGTTAATCGAGGAAGTGTCACTGGTGGCAGCGTCACTGGTGGCAGCGTTAATGGAGGAAGTGTCACTGGTGGCAAAGTAACAGGAGGCAGCGTCACTGGTGGAAGCGTCACTGGTGGCAAAGTAACAGGTGGCAGCGTCACTGGTGGCAGCGTTAATGGAGGAAGTGTCACTGGTGGCTGCGTCACTGGTGGCACAGTAACAGGAGGCAGCGTCACTGGTGGCAAAGTAACAGGAGGCAGCGTCACTGGTGGCAAAGTAACAGGAGGCAGCGTCACTGGTGGAAGCGTCTCAGGTGGCAAAGTTACTGGTGGCAGCGTCGCTGGTGGCAGTGTCACGGGTGGTGATGTCACTGGTGGCAAAGTGACTGGTGGAAGCGTCACTGATGGCAGCATCACTGGTGGAAGCGTCAATGGTGGAAGTGTCACTGGTGGCAAAGTTACTGGAGGCAGCGTCGCTGGTGGAAGTGTCACGGGTGGTGATGTCACTGGTGGAAGTGTTACGGGCGGTGATGTCACTGGTGGCAGCGTCGTTGGTTATAAAGTGACAGGTGGAAGCGTCACCGGCGGCAGCGTTAATGGAGGAATTGTCACTGGTGGCAAATTGACAGGTGGAAGCGTCTCTGGTGAAAGCGTCACTGGTGGCAGCGACACTGGTGGAAGCGTCTCAGGTGGCAAAGTTACTGGTGGTAGCGTCACTGGTGGCAGTGTCACTGGTGGTGATGTCACTGGTGGCAAAGTGACTGGTGGAAGCGTCACTGATGGTAGCATTACTGGTGGAAGTGTCACTGGTGGAAGTGTGTCAGGTGGCAAAGTCAAAAGCGGCAGCGTCGCTGGTGGCAGTGTTACGGGCGGTGATGTCACTGGTGGCAGCGTCGTTGGTGATAAAGTGACAGGTGGTAGCGTCACTGGCGGCAGCGTTAATGGAGGAAGTGTCACTGGTGGCTGCGTCACTGGTGGCAAAGTAATAGGTGGCAGCGTCACTGATGGCAAATTGACTGGTGGAAGCGTCTCTGGTGAAAGCGTCACTGGTGGCAGCGTCACTGGTGGAAGCGTCTCAGGTGGCAAAGTTACTGGTGGTAGCGTCACTGGTAGAAGTGTCGCTGGTGGAAGCGTCTCAGGTGGCATCGTCATTGGTGGTGATGTCACTGGTGGCAAAGTGACAGATGGCAGTGTCAATGGTGGAAGTGTTACTGGTGGAAGTGTCACTGTTGGAAGCGTCACTGTTGGAAGCGTCTCAGTTGGCAAAGTGACAGGTGGCAGCGTCACTGGTGGCAGTGTCACTATTGGCAGCGTTGCTGGTGGCAATGTCACTGTTGGCAGCGTTGCTGGTGGCAATGTCACAGGTGGCAAAATCACAGGTGGAAGTATCACTGTCGGCAGCGTCATGGGTGGTAACGTCAGCGATGGTAGCGTCATTGGTGACAATATAGGAGGCAACGAGACCTGTGGGAGTGTGATCGATGGCAGGGTTTTCGGTGGAAGCGAAATCACAGGATTTGTCGGAACTTCATCAGTGGCTGGCTCGGTCGTCACTCTCCACGGTCCTTCCTCGGGCATGTCCGTGTTGCAGGGTTTCTCTGTACCAGCATAAGTAGTGTGCTGTTTTAAGCCGTGAGATATTTGATTCTTGACCAGATCTGTGATTGATCTAAGGTCCTGGTAAGGTTCAGCTGCTTTAAAATCAAGAAATCCGGATGTCCGATAGAAGTTGGTCTTCTGGTTCTTACTGAACCCTATCTCAAAAGGTCTCAAAGCGTTCTTCTTATGTCCACGAGTTGTATCTTTTGTAGAGGCGTGCTTTCTATATGCGACATCGCCGGTAGTGTAAGCGCTCAATTGGTGCTCACCAATATCTTCAGTTGTGCTTGGAAAAGCACATCCTTAAACGTTGTTGTAAAAGCGAATGCACTCAGCATCGGCTGGAGCAACGCACATAGCTCCATTGTACGACGGTAGGTGCGGGTGGCAGCCGGTAGTGGCAAAATCACCAGCTTTAGGACAGGCGTTGCCTTTTGGCTCTGCTCCGCTGCCGGCGCATGGCAAGCCGGAAGACTTTGAGAGCGAGTAGATGGCATCATTCTGAACGGAAACTTGGACGAAACCTAAGACGTATCTAGCGGCAAGAATACCGACTAATGCTGCAACCGTGGTAGGTGTTTTGACACTCATGGACCAATTCGCAAATACGGCGACGGTGATGTATTCACAACTAAAGATTGGAGAATGAGGTTTATGGCGGAGTCACAGTTTACCTAAGACTCGCTTCAGTTTAAAGCGCTATGGGTACAACATAGCTGAAACGCTACTAGCAGTTTGCAAAGGAATATAATACTTTAGGCTGTCTGCAGACCTGAACGCTCATCAGTCACTGTTTTCTGACAGGTTTTTTCTTGACAGGTACATAATGCTGCGTACTACTTTATTTTGAATAACGTTCCACACCAATTCTCTAATGACGAGGGTTATAGGAGAGCATAGTTTTGCAAAAGGAGATACATGCCAACATTATCTTGTCAAACATCTAGAAGACGATTAATCATTACATTTATGATGTGCATACTTTATGCGGTTAATTGTTCTGATAAAATTGGTGAGCGATGAACAACCGACTGAAAAGCTTTGAATGTTTCCTGACCTGATGACATTCTTCACGAACTTGTAAGCTCGAAGTGATTCTTTTGGCCTTGCATCTATCAACTTTCTAGAAGTAGAATCCTCAATTAAAGTATTCGCCATTTTTAAAAGATCTTGTTCATTGATACCAATTTCATTAGTTAACGAAATTAAATGAATGAAGAGCTGTAAAGAGAATGCGTATTAATTGGGATGCCGCCACTGGACGATGGAGAAGGTCAGGTTTGGTGGTCAGTTCGTGGATGAAAGCTGATGAAATATCTGCTTTTCCTCACGAAACCGACAAGGACGCGCCAATTGCTACTGAAAGTGCACTGACAACAATTACATCGCGAAGTTTTTTTTGGAATTTGTCATACTTCATCATTGTTTTTATTATAACGGCTGCACGGGTCAAGTACAGTAAACATCTCCCTGATTTCGAAGCCACAAAAGTATGAGCACCTTTTGAAAGAGTTCAATGATCCACGAGCAGTACGCGACCAACAGGCGTCGGCTTATTTGTCATCGATTTCTAAAGTTCTTCATAGACTTGCAAGTTCAAACTCGCGATATTTTCAGTGGTTGCGCTACTAAAATTACGGCCATCATTAGATGCCCGTGTCAGTACAGCTCTACACTTCTGCTCAATAAAATCGCAACATTGATGAATGGCAGATTGCTACTTCACAAGCCTCATCAAGTTCTGATGAATGAAGCTGAAAGTTGAAGCGAGAAACTTAAAACAAGCGTTAATTTACCTAAAAGGGATAATACAGCCATCAACACGATGTTGAATACATCTTTTGAGACCATACGACCATAACTTGAGCTCAAAAGCGTACTTCAGATTGTTGAAACGTCTGAGAGGATTTGTACAGCTGTTTTTAAATCACATGCGCAGAAATCGCTAAGTTTTCCACGATGATCTACCCATAAGCCTTTAAATTCCTAAAGATTCACGTTAAAGCAAATTTAATTTTAAGGCGTTTTATAAGCTGCCTTTGAATCTGAGCTCTCCATGATTGCAATCGCATATATAAGAACACAAATGGCGATATGGTTTTGAGGTACAGCAGTGTGTGTAAACCATATTAGATTAGATATTGTCATCGTAGGCAATAGATGAGGTAACAGGAAAAATGGTTGGGAAGGAAGCATCACTGGTTCCAGTAAGATCGTGAGCAACGTGAATGATAAAAGCGCAGTTTGGGGCAGGTATCGTGATTACCAGCTTTGTTAGAAATTCATCAATGGCTGGCGTGTCCGTCTCTCCCCATGGTCCTTCAACGGGCGTGTCCGTGTCACTGGGTGAGTGCAGCGGGGTTTCCGTAGCTCTTTGCTTGGAGAAAGCTTAGATAAGCTAAGCTCACCGACCTTACGCTCTTTACAAGATCCAGTACGAGTGCATTTGATCACGATTCACTGCACTTAAAACCTTGACCAAGGTGAAGAGACTCTCCCGTCCAAAATTAAATTTTGAATTAATTGTTTTGGTTGCGGCAGAGCCGCCGATATCTACAAGCTTCGGTTTTTCTAATTAATATAGTTATCCCCAATTAACATAGTAAAAACAAGTTAATATAGTACAGCTAATTAATATGCATTACAACTGGCAATCCTGCCACGTAGTGGTTCTTGTTACGGTGTAGCCATGATTACATCAACTTGTGTAATCCACACTTACGTACGGTCACACCATCTTGTGTGACCCGTACTTTCATTCAAGGGTACGTTTAACCCCGTTACACTCCTTCAAAAGTGTAAATTCCCGCAAATCACATTGAATTGTCGCCTCATACGAGGCTCGCGTATCTGAAACACCGTTACGTTCTTAGGAACATCTTGAACATTTTTCGCTCAATGAGCCCTTCTATGACACAAAAAACACTCAGCTTAGCTGGTTCCGAGGACATCCGCGGGCAAGCCCATCTCCTTCTGCACGGGTGCATCTCCGGACAGTACGTCAGCGGGTAGCACACCCCAACTGAGCGGCACACACCGCGCCCGCCCCCGGCGACGGATTTCCTCGACAATGACTCGGAGAAAGTCGACTACGAGTCGGATACTCATTTCCCAGCATAGGAAGACAAGGAGGACTAGGTGCACCAACGGCGCGACGTGAGCCCTGCTCGAATTTTGCAGACACTTTGTCCGTTCCCGACCTCTCGATTTCCAGACGAGCTGGTAATGCTACCAATTGCCTCGACAAGGCACTCGAGCAGCAATTGGAGGCTGCCCACAGGGCGGCTCTAATGCGCTCGTATCCACGATCGGTCTTAGATCCTCGTGCGGAGTACGGCTTACGCTTGGCGAATCCTGCTACTGAAGCAAAAGATGCTATCGCTTGATCTTTAGGAGTCTAAGTAGTCGGGCCCTCGGCCACTACACAAGTTGAGCTTGATCAGCGTAAAGCTCTCCAAGCTCACTTCTCGGATCTCCAAGAAATCCCAATGGATCGGTACCGCGCTCGTCTTGAGCTCAAAGAGGAGGCGTTCCTGTACCCGCAATGCGAACTATTCCTGTAGTGCTTGCTCCGGGCGAAACCGCTGCAGATAATGAGGAGCTCTTTGAGCGATGGGTGCATATGCTCCGGAAACTTTCCTCGCTGTCTGACTTATAGCGGAGCTACAAAGAAGTGGACGTGCGCGTTAAGCGCCTTCTTCGATTTGAGTTTGCCAAATCAAGGTGCTACGCCGACTTCCTGCGTCACATGGAATTATCCATCACGCCCTCGCAAGCTCTGTGACTTCTTACACTAGTGAGGCTACGACCACAGCAGCCCAGAGATCTAGCTTGAGCTCCGCCGATGGCCCTCCGGCTTCCCGGGCTACTGCTGAGAAGCGCGGGGTGCACGACGACACGAAGCGTCATGATCCTTCTGATCAAAGGCGCCTACGATATCCGGGCATTCTTGCCGAAGTGGCACCTCAAACACCCACGAGTTCTCGGAGTTTGGGTATACCCGCCACTTCACAAGATGTTAAGTTGGACCCTGTCGACGACGTCGACTCACAAAGTGTTCAACGTGAAAGTGAACGCCACCCTTTCCATCGAGAAGAGTTGGCGAGGGGCGATGACGACTTGTTGGATCGCTGCCCGGTGACTCGCAGATTTCTTCGAGCGTTGGAGGACAAAGTCCGTCGTCATCAAACTCTGCCGAGCTTCTTTCCACGGTAGCCTATCGCCGTCGAGATTTGGAGAATTTTTGTGCCCCGACTGCCTCACGTTGAGAATTATCGTGCTCCGTTGAAGCGGCTTCTAGCCGCCGAGCAGACGATTACGTCGCTTCGTGCGACGGTGAAGCACCTTGCGCTGTTGGAAACGGAAATTGTTGCGCCCCGTGCTCTAAGTCAGTTGCTGCTTGAGCTTCTGAGAGACCGAGCGCCTTTGGGCGCCGTCCCGGATTTAATGCTTCCGCGTTCACTTGCGCCGGATCCCGATACGGCTTACGGCTTAAGCACGCTCACATAAAACACCGGGTGGGTGCGCATCCTTCTCGGAAGGTTGACCATATACACAAGGCCTCGCTTGGCCATGAAGTTATAAGGGCCAATGAACCGTGGACAGAGCTTTATCGTAAAGAGAACATATACTGCATATTTAGGAAGGTTATAAGCATTCCATATAATCAGCTCTCCGACATCGAAGTTTCCATAATTCATCTGCCTATTCCATATCCATATTCTTTATGCATGTCTTGGCTTTCAGCAATCGTATTGAGAACGTGTCGTAAGACACACAGTCTGGTAGAAAGAAAGTCATCGACTTCTTTACGGACAGAGAGACTGATGTCAGGTAGCCGTTTGGCTATTCCTACCTCCACCTAGCTCTGATCAATGAGATGGCGGCGTCAGCGGGACGCAAGGATTAACAATCTCGTTCACGTAGAACGGCATGTAGCCGGTAGATGAATGCACTGCATCGTTCAGAGCAGACTCTACGAGTGGCATCATGGCTCTGTAGCGATTTGACATCTTGGCGCAGACGCTGCGATAAAGCGTCTTCAACGACGCGATTCACGCGCTCAGTTTAACCATCGGTCTGCGGATGGTCCGCTGTTGACATAGTCAACTAGTTGCCCAGCACCTTCACGATTTAGACCAAAACTTCCCAATGAAGCACGGGTCTCTTTCAGATACAATTGACTATGGAAGTCCATACTCTCAAAAGACACGATCGACAACAGCGTCTCTGTATCTTCTACATCGACGAGAGTGCCCGGCACTGCCGTTTGATGAGCCATCTTGCTCAAACGGTCCACAAAGACTACCACATTCGGAGTCCTTCCGCAGGCCAAACACAAAGTCCATACTCATGGACTGACACCTGGAGGGTACCGGTAAACTGGCCAGCGGCGCCGCCGCATTCAAAGAGGGTTTCATCTTCTGAGACGTCTCAGATGGGAGCGCATATGTGCTCGCCCATTTATACAGCTTGGACCACTCATAGTGGCAAATCACAGAGCTGTACGTCATCTCACGACCGAGATGAACACTGAATGGAGTGAAGTGGGCCTCATAGAGGATAGGGTATTTCAAATCCTCATCATGAGGAACCACAATTCGTGGCGTATCCCAACAAATCGGTGCTATAATACAGCAACCCGTTATTCAGCGAATCTCGATGTAGCCTTGCGCGCAACCTCGCCGACAATTTCTTGTCCTAGTTTCCAAACTACTTGCTCCCGAGAGCCTGTAGCAGCGCTACACTCATAACGTCACCCGCATATATGGCGCGGA